CACGGTGGAAGATGGGCAGACTGGAGGGAGACAGACGCCTGGGGAGAGATGTGTCCAGAACCAAGAGTGATGGAGAAGCCAGTTCCTAGTGCCGAGGTCCAAAGGAAAGAATCCTAAAAGGGGGGTGGGGAATGGCTGCTGGGTCATTGGCAGCTTTCCCTCCCCTCCTCCTTCCTCCCGGCTCCCCCTACCCCTACCTCAGGATGTGGAGGGTGCTGGATCATCCCTGGTTTCTGCGCTCAGCTCTACCTGCAGACACATCTCTTCCCTCTCCCCGCACCCACCACCCCCGGATTTCTGCAGCTTAAAAGCTTAGGCATGACCTCGAAAGCCGTGTGTGTGCACCCTGTTGATTCCTGCCTCCTTGCTGGTGGGGATTTGAGCAGATAGGGCAGGCTTGGCTCTTCTCAGACACCCGAGCATCATGCCCTTGAGCATGGCCTGGGGGCTCCCGATCCCAGCAAGCCAGTGAGAGGAGAACTAGTTTTTCTCCGGAAGCTGGGCTTGAACTGCATCGGCGTTCAGATCCTAATGTGGCCAGTGGAGTCTCACTCGCTCCTTCCCCCTCCTCGGCTGGTTTTGTCTTCTCTTTTACTTTCACAAACCAAGGTTCCTCCTCTGGAACAGTGGGAACAGAACTTCAAGGGAGGAGTCCGTAGGTTAATGATCCTCAGAGTGACCAGCAGCTGAGTGTTGTGCATGCGTTATTTATATCACTTAATCCTTACAGCAACCTGGTGGGCAGGTTCTGTCGTGATCCCCATTTACAGGTGAGACGGAGCAGCCCCTGGGGTGTTAAGCAACTTGCCAAGGTCGTGCAGGCAATAAAGAAGGGACAGAGGCACTTCCTGAAACCTAAGCCGTCTGTGTCTAAAGACGGTGTCCGGAGCAGCTGTGTAGGCTGGCTGCGGTTTAAAGATGCAGCTGTTGGTGACAGGGGTGGGAGGGTCGGAGTTGCCGCTGTGCCCTGTGTTCCTAGTCTGTACCCCCGTAGGCCAGTTTCTAGAGGATCTGACTCCTGAACTCGGGAGTGGACTGGTCCCAGCTGCCAGCCGCCAGCTGGGGAGGGCGGGGTGGCCATCTGCCTGCTTGCAGCCTTTAAGATCCACGCCAGGGCATGCCACACACAGGAATGTGACTCTTTCACCACCTTGTGTGGCAGCACATTGCCACTGAAGAAACAGAGGGACAGAGAGGTTAAATGACTCAGCCAGGGTCCCACAAGCTTGTGGGTAGTTGAGCCAGGACTCTGATCCAGGTCTTGCATCTCCCTGTGCAGCGTGATTTCCATCTGCATTAGGGGCAGCCCCTAACCCTGGACGAGGAACGCAGGGTCCCCCTATGAGTCCTGGCTTATGTGGCTGGGGGCGGGGGGCTGAGCTGGTCACATCCCTCTCTGAGCCTCATCTGGAGAGCAGGGACATTTACGGCTGCAGTGCCTGCCTCATGGGTTTAGGATGCGTCTGGAAGACTTAGGTGGGTACAGAGGGCAGCGGGGCGTTAGTCGCTGGTAGCTCTGCTGATTACTCTGTCTTTGCTGGCAAAATTAAGGCCATGGATGGTATTTGCTCCCCTCTGCTGTGCTCCAACATACACGCGGGATTGCAGAGCAAGGCACTGTGGCTGAACCAGCAGAAGTCTGTTCCGACCAAGGACAAAGCCGTTTATAATCCACATCCCCTCCCTGCTGGAGGGAGATGATATGTCCTCGCAGCAGGAAGGCAGCATTACTTTATTCTAATTTTCAAAGAATTCCCAGGATTGAATAAATTACCAGCTCTCAAAACACTGGTTTGAAGAATCAGGAACTGTCTCAGATTTTCATGGCAGAAATGTCTATTGATCTGAAATATCCCAGACAGCTACATTCTCCTGGAGCAAGATCCTGGCCGCAGGAACGCCGAGTCTCGCTCTCTCTATAATTCCCCATCTCTGAGCCGACAGACCTTGAAGCAGATCCATGCCCTTGAGCTGATGGTAGCAATTCTATTAAAGAAGTTTGATTACAGGGGGGAAAAAAAAAGAAGGGAAAGAATCTATATTTCATTAAATGCTGCTTGTTTTAAAGTGGGAGCATTTTCTGGGTGTCTGGGGAGCTGACGTTTTCTATGTCTTGTGGAGAGAATCTAATCTTAAAAAACAGAAGAGTTTCCGTAGAAGGGAGAAACCATCACTTTCAGAGCTCAGGCCAAATTATATTTACAGAGAAGGGATTTTTATTCTGGAAGCTTATTTAATAAGCATTTATCAAGTGCCCACTATGAACCAGGTATCATTGTAGGTACTTGAAGCATTTGCAAGGGTAATGAGAATATTCTAAGAGGAGGAGATAATACAGATGGTTATTTTTGTTAGTGTTTGTTCAATTGATTGATAAGGTCTGTTGAGAACCTACTGTGTGCCAGGCCTGGCCGAGGCACTGAGAATGCATTACAGGGCAAGGTGGATCCCTGCCTTCCAGAAGCTTCTAGTCCAGCTGACATGATGAGGACCAGTGGGGGTGTGGGAATGTCTGACAGGGGACCTGCAGAAATGACACTCACAAAGTACTTATCCATTGGTCATCTCGAATGGGGGAGAGACAAGGAATTATTCCTATATTACTCGTGAATTTTCTGAGCCCTGAGAGGCTGACAAGTTGCTCAGGCCTCTTGAGAGTGTCGGGGATGGTACCTGAACCCTGAGTGTTTGATTCCCAATGCAGAGGGCTCTGCACCTCACGGGGCTGCCCACCATCCAGGACGATGAGAGCCTGTAACAGGAGTGGTGGTGCCCACCCTGGCAGGGGCATTCCTGGGGCCAAAGGAGGGCCTGTGACGTGGTGCTCAGTGACTCAAGATGCCGGGATGCCCGTGGAAGCACACCTGGCACCTGAGTGGGCCTGAGGGGTCCAGGGGATAAGGGGACATGGACCAATGCGCTCAGCACTCATCCCTTCCCTTGCTCAGCCTCGGGTCCCGCTCCAAGACTTAGCTCGAGCCTCCCCTCCCATTGGTCATTCTCCCTGCTCTGCGTGGCTCTGCTGAAAGAGAGCTCAGCTGGTGAGGGTGAGGGTAGGCGGGGGACAGGAGTTTTTCTGGTGCCAGCACTGCCATCCCCGACCCTGCTGATGTCACTTGACCTCTTTGGGATCTCAGCTTCCCCATCTGGAGTGACAGATCTATTGTGGATGGGAGAAGAGGTTGGGAGAAGAGGCTCGTGGGCCTGGGACAGGCTGGAAGGACCTTGCAGGAGAGTGCCTGTCTCTGAGCTCTGGGGTGGGGGGTGGGAGTGCCAGAAATGACTCCAGTGGGAGGGGATGAGCCCACCCCTCTTCCCTTCATGCAGTCTGCTTCTCAACTCTGGTATGGCAGTGGAGAGGGAAGAATATTCCAGAGTCCTGGGAGGGCTGATTTGAAGCTCACCACAAGCTTAAAATGCTTTGAAAGGAAGGCATGGTATTAAAATCAGCCTCATCATTTTGCCGATGAGGAGACTGAGGCACAAAGAGGTTAAGGAATGTGTCCCTGTAAACACAGCCTGTAAATATTAGAGCAGCAATCTGAACTTGGCAATGTGACCGTGGAGCCTACCCTCCCTAGCAGGACCGACCGTCTCCAGCCTCAGCCTGACCATTGGCAGGAATGGCGTCTGTAACAGGACCAAGTGTGTGTCGAAGCCACTTGGGAAACTGTCTGCTAGGAATGTGATCCAAGTCCTTTGACAAAGCAAAGAACCATCCCCTGATTTTTTTTTTTGGTGTCTTTTGACTTTTTTATACTGTTTTTTGGTAACAGCTTTATTGAGATACAATTCACATGCCGTACAATTCACCCATTTAAAGTATACGATTCAGTGGCTCTTAGTATATTCAGAATTATGCAAGCATCATCACAAACAATTTTAGAATATTTTCATTACCCCAGAAAGAAACCTTGCACCCCTGAGCTGTCATCCCCCAAACCCCCATACCCTCCAGCCCTAGGCAACCACTAACCTACCTCCATCTCTATAGATTTGTCTATTCTGGACATTTTATATTAATGAAATCGTACAATATGTAACAGGCTTCATTCACTTAGCAGAATGTTTTCAAGGTTCCTCCATGCTGTAATATGTATCAACACTTCGTTTCTTTTTATTGTCAAATAATATTCCATTGTAGGGGCCAGCCCAGTGGCATAGTGGTTAAGTTCAGGCACTCCACTGTGGCAGCCTGGGGTTCGCAGGTTCAGATCCCGGTCACAGACCTACTCACTGCTCATCAAGCCATGCTGTGGCAGGTGTCCCACATATAAAATAGAGGAAGGTGGGCACAGATGTTAGCTCAGGGCCAATCTTCCTCAGCAAAAACGAGGAGGATTGGCAACAGATGTTAGCTCAGGGCTAATCTTTCTCACCAAAAAAAAATAATAATAATATTCCATTGTATGGATATATCACACTTTATTCATTCATCGGTTGGTGGAGATTTGGGTTGTTTCCACGTTTTAGCTGTTATGGATAGTGCTGCCATGAATATTCACGTGCAAGTTTTGTGTGGACATGTTTTCATTTCTCCTGGGTAGATACTTGGGAGTAGAATTGCTGGATCGTATGGTAAGTCTATGTTTAACCTTTTGAGAGACTGCCAGACTGTTTTCCAAACTGGCTGTACATTTTACATTCCCACCAGCAGTGTATGAGGGTTCCAGTATCTCCACGTCCTTGCCAACACTCATTATTTTCTGTCTTTTTGATTATAGCCATCCTAGTGGCTGCAAAGTGTTCCATACTTTCTTTTTAATTGCAAAGGATATGTAAAACCTGATCAACTCTAAGGTGGTAGAATATCTGTGCGTCATTCCGTATCCAGCACTGTTTTCCTCAGAGCACGGGTCTGCCCTGGACTGGGAAGTTAGCTGGCCTCCTCCCGGGCAGTCTAAACTCTATGGTTCCATGGCGGCCTCCCAGGCCTCCAGGGAGGCTTGGCAGGAGGCCTGTTGATAACTAACGCTCTGCCGTGTCCTCTTGTCTTGCAGCGATCCACGAGTTCCCCACAGACCTGTTCTCCAATAAGGAGCGACAGCATGGAGCCGTCCTACTGCACATCCTCGGTGTAAGTGGCCCTCGTGGGGTGAGATTTTTGCAAACTTCAGGCAGGTGAAGCCTGTCTGCAGAGCACGGCAGAGCCAGAGCGTCGCAAAGGTCTCATCAGGTCATCGTAGGAGCCCTGTAGGAAGGGGAGATCCTGGACCCATTTTACCCACAAAGAAACAGTCTTTAGGATGTTCACTTGCTCATTGTCACACAGCTGGTGGCCCCAGAGCCAAGACAGGAATTCAAGTCATCTTGTGCCTCATTTTCTGCTTTTACAAAATGGTTGTGACAGCATCTCTCCCAGATGTGCAAATACGCGTGAATGTGGGTGACGCACATCAGACACTGCGTGACACATAGTAAGTGCTCTGTGCGTGCTTGCCATGGTTCCCATGATCCCCCCAACTGTTACCACCCTGACATAACTATAGCTTAAAACTTGGGTGCACTTCTCCTCAAACTTGCCTCTGTATTTAGATGGGCCTTGATGGTAAATGGTGGAATTCAAGTAGCAATTCAGAAAGGAATGGTGGGTTCAAGCCTAAACTATAGGCGGAAGTCACTCTTCTCTGACAGGAGTAGGCAAACTGCCTGTGTTTGTAAATAAAGCTTTATTGGAACACAGCCATTCCCATTCATTTCTCTATGGGCATACCTCGTTTCATTCCGTTTCACTTTATTGTGCTTTGCAGATGTTACATTTTTTATGAGACCCTCCAGCCAGCAAAAAGATTAAGACTTGCTAAAGGCTCAGGTGATGGTTAGCATTTTTTAGCCATAAAGTATTTTTTAATTGAGGTATGTACATTGTTTTTTAGACATAATGCTATTGCACGCTTAATAGACTACAGTATAGTGTAAACGTAACTTTTTTTTTTTTTGAGGAAGATTGGCCCTGCGCTAACATCTATTGCCAATCTCCTCTTTTTCTTTCTTCTCCCAAAGCCCCAGTATGTAGTTGTATATCCTAGTTGTAGGTCCCTCTAGTTCTTCTATGTGGGACGCTGCCTCAGCATGGCTTGATGAACGGTGAGTAGGTCCACACCCACGATCCAAACCCCCGAACCCGCGAACCCCGGGCCGCCAAAGCAGAATCCGCCAACTTAACCGCTATGCCACCGGGCCAGCCCCAAAATAACTTTTATATGCACTGAGAACCAAAAAATTCACGTGACTTGCTTTATTGCGGTGGTCTGGAACGACACCTGAAATATCTCCGAGGTCTGCCTCATTCCGAGGCTGCTTTTGTGATTCAGTGGCAGAACTGAGAAGTTTTGACAGAGACTACGTGGTTCACAGAGTCAAAAATATTTACTCTCTGTCCCTTTGCAGAAAAAGTGTGCTGACTCTATTGTATCGTGTGGGGAGATGAAGGTGGTCACAGTTTGCTTTTCTACTTTGGATCAATCACAGCAAATTTTCCTCCTGATTAGATTCCCCAACACCCACCACCATCTGCTTACACATTTAAACCCAACCAAGTATTAGTCTTTCTTTGCAAGAGACAATTAAGAAAGCAAAAGCTGGGATTCTCACATAGATAGTAGCCACCAGAGAATAATGAATGAGTGAAGTTTTAATTAACAGGATAAACCATTAATGAAAGTGAAGGTTAGAATGAAGGTTGTAGGCAAATTTCGAATGACAGGCTGGTATATTATTTCTGTATAGAGTTATAATCTCTGGCTCTCCACACCCTCCCCTTTCTCTAAGGGGGTGTGGGTTTGGTGAATTGGTCCCGTCTTTCTGTCTCCCTGCTTCATGAAAGTCTTGACATAGCTGAGACGAAACCTTTTTTCCTGAACCTGAGAGCACCTCAGGAATTTGGCAGGAACCCTTTAGAGCGGGCATTACCGAACTGTGGCTGGAGGGCCCAATCCGGCCCACTTCTTGTTTGTATAAATAAAGTTTTATTGGAACACAGCCATGCCCATTCCATGACTGCTCGTCTACAGCAGCAGAATCGTTGTGATAGACTGTGTGGTCTACAAAGCCTAAAATACTTACTATCTGACTCTAAAAACAAGTTTGCTGACCCTTCATTAGAGAAAGAAAAGGCTGGCGCTTGGGAGCTAGTGTTTGTCTACAGCACTGAGAAGCTTCTCGAAACTTCCGGACCCAAGCGATGGAAATCGTGGCGCCGTCTTGGCCCCCTTTTCTCTCCAGTGTTTCTGAGGCATCAGGGGAACCAGAGGCTTCGGGCTCACGGGAAACCCTTTGCCTGGGAGATGATGTTGGGGGAATTCCTGGGGGTGTGAATTCAAGTTGGAATCCTGAGATTTGTAACAGAGTCTCTTCCACCTCACCCTCTCCTCTCTACCCACACCCCCAGTATTGTTTTTGTTTTGCTTCCCCCAAAAAGATAATGAGTCAAATCCAGGGACAGCCCCACCTGGACTCCAGTGGACACCTGCCTCGGATGCCTTGGCTGCGGCAGTAGCTTCCACTTTATTTAATCATAATTAATTAATTGTGAAGTTGTTGGAGTATCACACTGTTTTGGCTGAAGCAGTCCAGCCTTTCCCTCTTTTGTGAACAGGCCATTCATATCACTTTTTAAAGAAAGAAATGGCTTCCTCCAGTGCTTAGCGCAAAATCCCATCTCCTTCCCAGGGGTCCTGGTCCTTGCCTTTCCCTCCAAGCTCACGTTCTCCATTTTCCACCTCACTCTTGCTCTGTTCTACCTGCACCGGGGACCTGGCTGTTCCTCAAATTCACTAAGTTCATTCCTGCCTCAGGACCTTTGCACTTGCTGTTTCCTGGCAGTTTTGCCCATTTGTTTGTTTGTCCCCCACTAAAGTCAGTTACAAGAGGCAGAGGCTTTTCCCGGTATCCTCTCTGTGTATCCCTGATGCCTAGCATAGTGCCTAGCACACAGAATGAGCTCAGTAAAGCCGTGTTGGTGGACAGGGCAGGGAGGGGTTCTCTGTATAAAACCATTTTAAAACTACTGATCTCTTCTTACTCTATCATTAAGCACAGGAAGAAACTCAGACCTAGAGATGTGACTTATTCAAAGTCACCTGGTGTATAATTCCCAGGATCAGCATCAGAATCTGGATTCTTTGTTCCATGAACCTCCCAGCATCAATGGCTTGTGTATTTTAACCTGTGCCAACATCAAGTAGCGTCCCAGGAAATGTTGGATCTCAAGTTGCCGTTTGTTTTGGTAGGGGCAGGGTTGGGGGCAGTTGGATAATAAGGAATTGGTGACTTCACTAAAAATGGAGAAAATCAGGATAATTATTATTTTAAATTCTTAAAATGGTGATTCTAAGTGCTTTCCTTCTTGGCCCTAAAGGTCAGATCTTGCCTTTCAAGGTCACCCTCTGGTGCTGGGAGAGAGAACTACTTCTTTAAGAACAGAGGAAAGAGCGCAAGGCCACGTGGCCTGAGTTTCGTCCCCTCTGCTGCTCAGCAAGTTATTTCTCCTCTCTGGGCCTCAGTTTCCCCATATGTTGGTGAGGGAATTGAGGGAGCAAATCTCGATGGTGCTGGAATTTTCCTCCATGCCCCCTCTGTCCGCCTGGCCTCCACCCCGGCAGGCTGGTCTGGGGCGTGATGGGTGCCCGGCCGCGCCTCCACAGCGGCAGTGCCCTCACTGACACGCTGTGTCCCTGTGCTTCCTCCGCAGGCTCTGTACATGTTCTACGCCTTGGCCATCGTGTGCGATGACTTCTTTGTTCCGTCCCTAGAGAAGATCTGCGAGGTACATGGGAGGGACCTGGGCCGCCTCCGTGAAGCCTGGGAGGGGGCTGGGGGTGGCTGAGGACACGTGCCACATCGGTGTCAGGCCGAGAAGGAGTGGAGTGGAGAGCACTCTGGTGGTGACAATTGTCAGGCTAAAAGTAGTGTTGCCACGGCGAAGCTTCACTCAGAAACCCCCAGATTGGAGTTGGCGGGTAGCATCCTCCCTAAGAGCTTGGCAGAAGAAGATGCTCCCAGAGTGAGATCATTACCCAGAACCTCTGGCTCCACCACAGGCCATCAGTGGTTGAGCCAAACCTGGTTAGTTCGGGAGCATTTGCCATAACCAGCTGCAGGTGGCAGGTACCAGGTGGGACCTGTGTCCCCGGGGAGGATGGTGAACTTCAGCAGCAGAGAATGCCCCTTGTCCCAACCTTTGCAGGCTGACGTTTTCTCCTCTTGATTCTTTGTTAATTTTTCACTTTTCATCTCTCTCCCAGTATACAAGACCCTAGTCTCTCTCTCTACTCTGTGTCTCCCTTGGCTTCTAGCCGAGGAAGGAAAACTGCCTCTGTTTTGAGCGCCTGCTGTGTGCGGACGCTTCACCCCATGAAATCTCCCAGCTGTCTGAGGCCATACTGTTGTGACATTTGGTGCTGGGGACATGGATTGTCAGGGCCAGGCTCTTCTCCGTTGCTCTACCCTGCTGCTGAGCACAGAGCAGGGACTGGCTGCTTTTGACCCGGGTCCCCTAAACAGTGAGTGACCCGGCAAAAGTGCGCAAAGGCCTTCCCCTCCCCTGACCTCCCCCTACTCCCCCCAACCCCTCACCCTGCTCAGATTGAGCCACATATCCACTTCCATTGAGACACTTGTTGGTGAGAGAATCAGGCCAGAGAAAGAGCATGAAGAACAGAATTAGGAAATGACCACTGGGGATGTCTGGGCAGGAGGCTCAACCTGAGGATGGGCTGCTGGAGTGGCGTGCTGAGGGTATAGTGGTCACTGCAAGTGACTGTCGCTTCTTGGAAGGAGACCCTTGGGAAAAACACAGTCAGCTGGTCCTTACAGAACATGCACTCTGGGCACCCACTAACATGAGAGCTTGGGGGGCCGAAGCAACAGGGTTGGACCCCCTGCCCCTCTGGGGTTGACAGAAGCCCATGGAGGATGGGTGACTGATGATATAGGACTGTGTACTGTGGAGGTGCCCCGTGAAGTTACCTGTCTCCCTAAGGACAGAGGAGTGAGTGAGGGTGATGGTCTTGGTCCTGTAGGCAAGAGACTCGGTGAGAGCAGTCAAAGGACTGAGGAGCTGAAAAACGGGAGGGAGCATCTCTGTTGGAGAGAAGCCCAGGAAGGCTTCCTGAAGGAGGTGGCATTTGGTCCAGGCTTTGGAAGTGGGAAGGATTTCTGCAAGCAGAGGGGGGGAGTAGGGCATTCCAGGAGGAAGGAATGACCCTGGCAAAAGCAGGGAGGAGGCAGGACAGAATGCAGCAGGGTTTGGATGCTCTGATGGCAGAAACTCTTCCGTGGACCCTTCCTCATTGGCGGGCTTAAGGTGGCTGGACTTCTGCCCTGGGGGTCAGTGCTGTGCACCACCTCAGCTCCTGTCAAGCCTAGAGTGCCAGCCCTTCTGAGGACCCCTTCTGTAGCAAGCTCAGAAGGGAGGTTGTGCTGGCCCGGGGGTTCATCAGTGGCCCTAGAGCCCTGGGCTGCCCAGGGGTGCTTTGGGAGGTGGGGGATAGGGGAGGCCGAGCCTGCGCTGAGCCAGCCTGCCCAGAGGCCTTCGGAGAACCCAGGGTGGGCGGCTTCCAGTTGACATTTAGGCGGACCCAGAATCACCATGGTTTCTCCAGGCATCCAAAGAGAATGAACAGAAATTGACAGATGGGGGAAGGGGACGGGGATTCTGGGCTGAGGGCCCAGCAGAGTGGCAGAGGGTGTGTCTCCAGGTGCGGGGGGAGAGGCTGCCCGCTGAGGAGCTTGGCTCTGGCTACAGCATTGCTCCTTGCATTCTCCCTGGCTGCCAGAGTGACCGGTTAGCCTGTCCACTGTCCCCTGTCACAGCCTGTGATCACTTCTGTTTCAGAAACTCCATCTGAGTGAAGATGTGGCTGGAGCCACCTTCATGGCTGCAGGAAGCTCGACGCCCGAGCTGTTTGCCTCTGTTATCGGTAAGACATCCCACCAGCTGGAGACCCGGGATCTCAGGAGCCCAGGCCTGGTGCTCTGACCAGTGAGGGCATTTGTTGGCTCTTAGCCTCAGTTTTCTCATCTGTAAAACAGGAGAGATGGAGAGACAGAAAGCAGATTAGTGGTTCCCTGGGGCGTGGGGTGGAGGGGGTGCTATTGGGTGTGGAGTTTCTTTTTGGGGTGATGAAAATATTCTAAAATTAGATTGTGGTGATGGTTGCACAATTCTGTGATGAAAAACACTGAATTATATACTTTAAATGGGTGGATTTTATGGCATGTGAATTATATCTCAATAAAGCCATTCAAAAAAATGGGAGGATTGGAGTAGCTGGTCTCTGAGGGTGCTTGCGTCTCTCTGGTGTTGCTGTTCCCACCAGCATCGTGGGTATTCTGTTTGATGTAAAAACAACACCCCTTGGTGCACAGGGTGGGGGACCCAGACCTCACAGCCAGCCTGGGTCTGGAGGGGGCAGGCTGGGGCCCCGCAGAAGAGGATCTGTGCCCTTCCCTTCCCAGGTGTGTTCATCACCCACGGAGATGTGGGGGTTGGGACCATCGTGGGCTCTGCCGTGTTCAACATCCTGTGTATCATTGGAGTTTGTGGATTATTTGCGGGGCAGGTCAGTGGTTTCCCTCCCTGGCCTGACTGACGAGTGCCCTTTAGTGGTGGGGATAAGCCCTTATGAAGTGACGTGAGGGACAGCAGTGGGGAGACCCGAGGCCCAGCCTTAGCCAAGCCCTGACTCCCTCTGGCTTTCAGTGAGCCGGTTTCCCCCTCCGAGCCCGTTTCCTCGTGTGTCACAGTGGCATCTGACATTCCTTCCCCCTCCGGCAGTCGGTGGTCTGAGAGAAGGAACAGCATCGGCTCTCTTGGCCGGTCTGAGGGTGAGCAGTCATCTGACAGATTTCAGCAGGCGTTTGCCTCCTGAACCCTGACCCTGAGCTAGATTCTGGAAATATCTGGGGCCTACCTTTGGTCTCCCCAGCAGGGAGCATGAAGCTGGCTTGTTGTTGATAACCCCATCAGCATCTTCCTGGTCCCCGGGGCCATGGGGGGACATTAGACTTGACCTCAGAGAAGGGGGCTCGTGGGTGGGCCCTGCCCTGCCACACGAGGTAGAGGTTGGCAGCCAGTTACCACCAGAAAGTTCTAGCATCAAGGGGAAGAGCGAGTGCCTTGGCCTCTTGAAACTGTTCCCCATATATGACAAAGAGCACAGGGTGGCCCTGAGTAGCCAGGGGAGATTTGTTTCTGGTGGCACAGTTGGGAGGAGCTCCGTGGGCCTGTCCCTGCCCCTGTGGGGTTCTGGGGGTGGTGGGGAAGCCCCCTCACCCCTTCCCCACCCCTGTCTCCCCTTTTCCTGGCAGGTGGTCCTTCTGACGTGGTGGGCCGTGTGCCGAGACTCCGTGTACTACACCCTCTCTGTCATCGTGCTCATTGCCGTGAGTCACCCTCCTGCCCACCTCTGTCCCTGGCACTCTAGCCAGAGACCCCCAGCACCCCGCCCAGGGGGTGCGCTGACCACTCATCATAGTTGCATCGACCGATCCCCCCGCCACTGTGCCTCCCTTTCCTGAAAGCCTCACACCTAACACCTGGGTTATGGGGCAAACCCGCCTTGAATTCAGAATGGCCTCGGAACGGAAAGGCCAGAACACGTGTCACAGGGTCCGTGCAGTGAAGCTCAAGTCCTTTGCTCATCAGAGGCCCCTCAGACCCTCACTTAGAGCCCTTTTACTAAGCAGCAGTTTCTGCTTCCACAGCTCACTGCAGACCAGGGGAGAGAGCCAGCTGGAAGCAGTCAGAGTTGGCCACTGAGGGGCAGAAACAGGGATCCCTGGGGCCTGTTAATGTGTGTGTCCCTGTAGCCCCCCGAGGGCTGGGGTGACATCAGTGCACATGACAGTGACACAACAGTGAGGCACACGACACAGGCCAAGGAGCATGCCATCCACAGGTTTCAATCCAAAAGGAGCTTTAAAGCAGTGGCACAAGCCAGGTCGTATTTGAGGAGGGCAGATGCATGTGGCGTGCCCAGATTTTAGGGTATGGAATGTGCCCTAGAGTGACACTTCTCAACCTTACAAGATTTAGCGCCAACTGTATCTGACAATCATGTCGCTTGTATTAGCTATCTGTTGCTGTGTCACAAATTTCCCCAAAACTCTGCAGCATCAGACATTTATTACTCCCGTTTCTGTGGATCAAATCTGGGAGGGGCTTGGCTGAGTCCTGTGGCTCAGGGTCTCTCACCGGAGTATAGTCGTCTCAAGGCTCCTCTGGACAAGGATCCGCTTTCAAGATCACTCACGTGGCTGTGGGCAGGCCTCAGGTCCTTCCTCGCTGGCTGTTCCATGGTGCAGCTGGAGACATGGCAACTGGCTTCCCTCGGAGTGAGGGTGAGAAGGTGCCAAGGTGGAAGCCACAGTCCTTTTGTAACCTATCCTCAGAAGTGACAGCCCATCAATTTTACCATATACTGTTTGTTAGGAGCAAGTCCCTAGGTCCAGGCCACACTCAGGGGTGTGTGAATGTCAGGCAGGGGGATCATTGGGGCCGTCTGAGAGGCTGCCTACCACACCCCCAAAAATGAAAGTTATAGATAAAATAATTTACCTATACACAATTTCAAAAAAAAATACTTAACACCCAAACTCTACTATAAAGGACAAAAGTAATTTATAATAAAAGAATACATCTTTCGGTGTATAAATGTTTGGGTATGAAGATGCTAGAACACCTGATGATGTAATCTGTTGCCCCCCATACGGAAGATCTCCGGGCCCAACAGCCGCCAGCGCAGACTGAGGCTGGCATCTCAGGCCCCACGAGTGGTGCCCACATTGATGACGTGGTTTTCCAGAATTATGAATGACTCTTGATAAAATCTTAAACAGAGCTAAGTACAGTCATCCTTCCATCATATGACTAGAAAATTAAGATTTATTAAAACCATGTGAAAATATGTTGATTTGTAAAATGGAGTTAAGTTCTAGACTTAGGGATTTTTTTCTTTTTTTTTTTTGGTTGCCTGAATGTTTAGCAGGACATTTCAGACTTGTGCCAAATGTGGAAAAAGTCTCCCGATAGAACATTTTCACACGTTCTAGGCTGGCTGGCACCCCTGACCTTCACTGTATCTAAATGCCGGTAGCCCTCCATTGGGTTGTAAAAATATCCCCATAAATGTCCCTCAAGTTACCCTGGTGGTGGCACTAGGCTCTCCCCTCTGTTGAGGCCACTTCCTCAGAGCCTTGAGTCTAGGGAGCCTCACAGCAATGCCCAGCCGGGATGACCCTCTCAAAAGAGGCTTCCCAAAGCACTTCCTGTGTGTGCTGCCCACTGTGACAGCCAGGAGAGGGGTACTGTGGGTCCAACTCCAGACAGCAGCCCCCGGCCTCTCCTGGCATTGTGTGTAGGGACCTTCATGTGTCCAAGAATCAGAGTGGTGGGCACAGCCCCTCCACTTTTCCGTCCACACTGGGCCTGGCTGGGGCGGTCACAGGACTCCTCCCCTGGACCACAGAAGCATCATTCATCAGTATCTCGTGTCGACCATGTGGGGTGGGGTTGTTGGGCAATATGAGTGCATCCTTAGGAAGCCATGGCATCCCCACCATCATCCCCAGTCTCTCTTCAAATGGTACAAGCGGGTCCTTGGCCCTCAGAATTTCCAAAGGGGTTACTCTTTATTTTTAAGAAAATGACACCTTCCCCTACTACACAGGCACCATAGATAGATAAATAATTTTACATACATACATCTGTACGTAGATGCTTTTTTAGTTTTTAGGATTTTTGATTTTAGCAACTCTGTTCCATTAATGAGGGCAGGTCCCCAGCAGCTGCGTGGACCATAGTGAAGCACAGGCTGTTTCTCTTGGGAGGCCCACGCTAAGCTGGGGCCGCGTATCGCAGCATCTGCTGTCTTAGGTTTTAACTAAGGAAAGGTCACCTTCTGCAGTCGAGAAACCAGAAATGGAGAGAGGAGCGCAGCTTTCTGTAAAACACAGAACAAGCCAACGCGAGCCGGCTCTGGGCGGTTCGGGACCTGCGTTTGCTCTTCTTGGAATAAATATGTCCCCCCACCCTTTGTTTCTTTTGCCTTCCAGTTCATATATGATGAAGAAATTGTGTGGTAAGTTTTTAAAGTTTGTTTCTCGTTCCTTTGTTGTTAGTATCCTGGTTTGTTGGGTTTATTGAATCTTTTTTTTTTTTTTTTTTGTGAGGAAGATCAGCCCTGAGCTAACATCCATGCTAATCCTCCTCTTTTTGCTGAGGATGACCGGCTCTGAGCTAACATCTATTTACAGTCCTCCTCCTTTTTCTCCCCAAAGCCCCAGTAGATAGTTGTATGTCATAGTTGCACATCCTTCTAGTTGCTGTATGTGGGACGCGGCCTCAGCATGTTCGGAGAAGCAGTGCATGGATGCGCACCCGGGACCCGAACCTGGGCCGCCAGTAGTGGAGCACGCGCACTTAACCGCTAAGCCATGGGGCCGGCCCCCATTGAATCTTTTCAAAAATTATTTTTACAAACAGAAGTTTATAAACTTGTGAAAGTAAAAAGGGTGTAATTCTAAGCAATCATGCCTTTATTTCTCCTTTCAAAGTAACAAAAATAGTTTCCGTTAATATTTCCACCCTGCCAGATATTGAGGTGTATTATAAAGCTAACATGATGAAAACAGTATGGCATTTTGCACAGGGATAAGCACAGGCCAATATGGAACCAAAAATCCAGTAATGAGCCCATTTCTGGGCTGGGGGATATGACAGACGTCATGACAAGGCAGTGAGTTGGAGGGGGTCTCAGATGCTGCTGGGACAACCAGGAATCCACACAGAACAAAATAGCATCAGATCCCTTCCTCACACCTTATACAAGAATAAATTCCAGATGAATTAAAGATCTCACTGTAAAAGGCAAAATTAAACAATAATTTAGAATAAAATATAGAGACTCATCTTCATGACATTGAGAGAGGAAACTATTCCTTAATTAGGATATATAAAGCCCAAACTTTGAAGAAAAGATTGATTCACTCTATAGGGCATGAATGTATCTGACATTCATAAGCCATAAAAATGTTCTCGTCGTGACAGTGATTCAGAATCCACATCTTGTGAGTGATTATTTGGGGGAAGGTATTCAGGAGGCCTGACACTAGCGGCTGTGTACTATGGGCCCAGAGACACCCAGTTCTGGCGCCCACCGGGCCTCCAACCCACCATGTGAGTCACGAAGTCTGTCTACTCGTGGGGCGCATCTTCCAGCTGTAGATGGAGTTGGGGGTGGTGGTGGTCAGATCATCTGCAAGTCCCTTTGCGGCTCTGCTGGTCTCTGGGCTGTGTCAGCGGAGGAGGAGCCCCCAACACGACTGTAGCCCATGCTGGGCACTTAGTGGCCGTTAGTACACGTTTGTCAGATGAACGAACAAAAGCTGGGTGGCTCCTCAGAGGCTTGTGGTCTGAGCTTCAGAAATCCCCCCTGTGTCTGGGGTTGGGCGCTACCTCTGTGAGACAGCAGTGTGTAGTGTGTCCCAGAGAGACCTACCCTGCCCAGTGTTCAGCCCAGGAGGTCCTGTGCCCAGCCCCTCTCTTCAGGTAGTTCTTAGGGCCCCTTGCTACCTCTACCCACAGCTCCTCTGGTCCCTGGCTAGAATCTCAGATGACCACAGGGCCTCTTAGGGTCAAGTCTGCATGACTCCAGGCCACTCCCCTCCCTGAGTCTTAGATGTGGTGGCCCCGGTCCCTCCTTTTTCTAGGTGGCTGGGGGAACTCAGCCTGAGTCCTGCAGACCCCCTGTGATTGAGAAGAACCCACCCTCAGCCTTCTCTCTCTGGCCCCAAGGGGGCTTCAGATTGCACGACAGCTGAGGGCTGGGGCGGCTCACTCGCATCCTGGGGCCAGGGCCGGGGCCGGGGCTGGTAGAAGAACAGCCCCCATTGCTGCGCCCGCTGCCCCGGTCACTCCCTGCCTCCCTGGCTCTAACCACAGTCTCCTTTCTCTCTTGGAGGTGGGAAGGCCTGGTGCTCATCATCTTGTACGTGTTTTACATTCTGATTATGAAGTAAGTGCCCTTTCTCTCCTCCTCCTGGGCCGTCTGATGCCTCATTCCACATCCTGCTCTAGCCTTTTGTTAGAACAGGAGGAAAACCCCCATCAGGCCCGTCAGTCACTCTGGCCTGTCCCAGCTCTCTGGGGGACACCCCGCTGGGGGTGGCCGGAGTGGGGGAGGAATGTTCAGACACTGTTTTGGGGTGCTGTCCACACCTAGGCCGGCGCAGTCAGGACTGGTGCGGGGAGGCTGAGGCCGTTCCTCAAACGAGTAGCAAGCGAGGACGTCTTTCCCACCCCGCTCCGGACTGCTTCTCCATGCCCCAGGTGGCCACTCTTTTTCGCTGTCTCTATAATTCTAATAATTTAATACTGCTCTTTTCAAAGAGCCCCATGTCTGCTCCAGGCTTCATGAAATGCCACCTCTCAGGGCCGCCACCTTGCACAACTGCGGGGGCGCCACTCCTGGTACTGAGGATACCAACACTGGGTCCTGGGGTGTGCGCTCTTGAGGCCCTCTAGAAGCTGCCCAGGTCAGAATGATTGCAGAACTACTCATGAGGACTATTGTTCAGCCATGAAAAGGAAGGAAATCCTGTCAAAGGCTGCAACATGGATGAACCTTGAAAACTTTATACTGAGGGAAAGGAGCCAGTCACAAAAGGATAAATATTGTCAGATTCCACTTAACGTGAGGGACCTAGGAGAGTCAAATTCATAGAGACAGAAAGTCAGTTAGACATTACCTCAGGCTGAGGGGAGGGAGTAATTAATTATTCATTGAGTAATGGGCACAAATTGATTAATTTGGGATGCTGAAAAAGTTTTGCAAGTAGTGGTGATGGTTGCATAACAGTGTGAATGTAATTAATGCCACTGAGTTGTGCACTTAAAAATGGAAAATAGTTAAAATAGCAAATTTTATGTCATATGTATTTGTCCACATTAAAAAAGAAAAACTACCCAGGAGTTGAGCCACGTTCAGATTTTATCTTCCTCTGTACACCTCGACAGTAATTAAAAAGAAAAGCAACACTGAGCTGTGAATCCCCGCGTTTATATAAAACGTAATGTTTTATAAAAATGAGTGACAAACTGTCAAACTACAAGAGAATTGTCCTTAAAAGATCTGCTCTCTGAGAGCCTTCCAGGGAGGCAGCAGCCTGGGTGTCTGAGATGGAGTGAGTCTCTTCTCTGTGGGGATGGCCCACGGGCAGCCACGTGAGCAAGACTCGGGGCTGTGGGAGAAAGGACAGGCCTGATAAAGCCTCCTTCAAGCCTGTCACCTAGGCTGGGCTGAACGTCTTTTATTGGGACAGGCTTGTGACGTGAAGTAAGCAGGTATCTGTCCTTCTCTTGGGCTGAAAGTCTTTTATGTCCCCAGGAAGCCCACTAATATCTCAGTAGGAGCAAGACCCTCAGACTGCTGTTGTTCTTTGCTTCCTGTCAGGAAACTCTATCAGCTCAGTTGAAAACCCTTGGCTCCCCACCTTGCGGCCACCATGCTGTGTGTGCACAGGGGTGGGGGGACGGGGAGGCCCCAGCACGCCCCTCGCAGACTCTCCCGCAGCTCTGACCTCCTGCCTTAACTTCCAGGTACAACATGAAGATGCAGGCCTTTTTCACAGTCAAACAAAAGACCATTGCAAATGGCAACACGGTCAACAGTGAGCTGGAAGATGGTAATGATTACTGTGATAGTAGCTCTGATGACCCTTCCATGCCACTGCTGGGGCAAGGTAAGGCTGAGCAGACAGGAGCGGCCAAAACCGTGGCGTTGAAACCACTCTCCCTTCTCTTACCTACACACACTCACTCCCTCTAAATTGTCACTCTCTTACCTTTGGTCACAAGACCTTAAACGAGGAGGGAGAATCAATGTTGGAGATGTTGCCCAGATTGGTGTTGGCTTAGATGGGAGGAGCATGAAAAAGTCAGCAGTCCCATCCCCGGGGAAGGCTTGCGGCCCGCTTGGCTTTTCTGAAATGCAGTAATTACATCTCTGAGCCATGTAAAAGGCCGATGACAGGAAGCCAAGTCCTTGGGGTTGCAGGGCAGGCCCAGGTCTCCCTGTGGTTTCTCAAATACCAGGCCCAGTTCTAGAGAACTCTGTTCTGGAGAGACTTCTGGCTCATCACCCAGAGGAACAGCAAGGCCGGGAAAGGCAGCCACGGAGCTGGGCAGGAATCCCAGACCAGCCCCAGAGAGCCCTGCTTCGGAGCCCCTTCCCCTGGGGCTGCAGCCCGGTCTCCTCAGCTTCTCTTTGGCCCCCTTGTCTGGGGTTCTGGGACCCCGGAGCCAGCCCCTGTTGTCTCTCTTGAGTTCCCCGAATTGTCTAGGCCTGCCTGGCTGCTGCTTTGGAAACCTTGGGAGAGAGCTGTGGACTGGCCACCTGAGGGTCTTGCTCCCTTGTTCCCCATGGCCTTGGGCAAGTCACATCCTCTTTCAGGCAACTTTAATTCCTTTGTGATGTGAATGATGGGACCCGGTGGTCTCAGAGGGGCCTGTTTGCCTGTGTCTGGGATGTGTAGGGGCTGAAATCTATGCTCCTTGGCTCCCGCCCCGGTCTTCACCCTGGAGTAGCTCAGGGTAGGGGCTCCCTTCCATGTGCACGTTAGGCCAGTGTGTGCTGTCCGGTCTCAGGTAACCCCTGAGGGAGCACCTGTTGCAGGTGCTGGAGTAAGGGATGAATCTCTCCCTACAGAAGGAAGGAGCCCACTGGAGTAGGGGCACGGCTGCAGTCAAGGCCACAGCCTGGCTGCCAGAGGCCCGCCCGTGAGGGGCAGAGAAAGGAGGCCCGCAGAGGCTGGGGCTGTGCCCCTGTGGCCTGTTTCATAAGTGCCCAGCGGGCTTCCCCAGGAGGGAGCCCGTTTCCAGGACAACCTCCTCAGAAGGGGAAGGAACAATGTGGCTGCTGTTTTGGGTTTTAGCTCCACAGACATAGTGTCTCCGAGGTCGCTGTTGAAGGTCCCCACACACAGTCTCTCAGGACAGAGCCTGATTCCTGCCTAGGCGCATAGCCGGAGATGAAGGCTCCTGGGGTCCTCTGGACCTTCAGGGCAAAGAGGAAAGATTCTACCTGCTGAGTCATTCAGGCTGGTGGAACACGCCCGCTTCATCAGGTGCCAGCCCCGAGAGCCACCTCCCCGCCCATGTGGCTGACGGAGGAGGCCTGTCCCCAGAGGCATGAGAAGCATTCCTCATGTGCAACGCCCCTCATGTGGCAGGGCCTCGGCCACCTCCCTTTCCGGGGACATCAGGCTGCCCTGAGGCTGCTGCCTAGGGTGGGCCTTTTCCGGAGCTCTATGGTAGCCCTGTCTCCATCACTTTTGTACCCGTGACAGTAGGACTTCCCCCACAAGTTTATTATTTTGTCCCAGATCTCTAAGTCCGGGACAATTTCTAGGAAGTTGGAAGATTAGACACAGGACTGCCCTTCAAGCACAGCCTTTTATCAGCACAGATGTGTTTAGATAAAGACCAAGGAGAAAAAGGCTCAGGGGTGCGGGCCTGGAATTTGAGAGGTGGGAGGCCCAGAGAGGCAGCCGTTAGGATTTTTTAGTCCCTGCTGGTGGATGCCCCTTCCCTCCCGGAGGGCCGTGGGTGTGATTCCCTGCAGGGCACTATCCCCTAGAATAGACTGAGGCAGGAGGAAGGAGCCCCCAGGAACACCCCCGGGGGACTGAGGAGAACGGAGCTTCAGAAGTTTGCCTTTTCTGGTGGTGTTGCCACAGAATCTTTCCAACTCAGAGTTCTGTGGTCCTGAGGCTGCGGGCGGGTCCGTATCTCACCACCCCACCCCAGGAAGTCCAGGATGGCTGGCTGGTAGATTCTTTCAAGAACACACACGCGGGCACACGCACACACGCAGCTCTGACTTTGCTGTTATCAGTTTTGGTGTTTCCCATATAAAATCCAAAAAAAAATTTTGTTTTTTTTTGTTTTTGAGGAAGATTGGCCCTGAGCTAACATCTCTTGCCAATCTTCCTGTTTTCCTTTTTCTCCCCAAAGCCCTGGTGCATAGTTGTATATCCTAGTTGTACGTCCTTCTAGTTCCTCTATGTGGGATGCCGCCTCAGCATGGCTTGATGAGCGGTGCGTAGGTCCATGCCCAGGATCCAAACTGGTGAACCCTGGGCTGCCGAAGCAGAACACACGAACTTAACTGCTATACCACCAGGCCAGCCCCTAAAATACAAATTTTAACCCAACCTCTTGACAGGTTTTGTGCCTTTTGACTACCATTCTTATAAAATGCCTTTATGTACTTCAGTGTTCTTAAAGGTCATGCATTTTAGTTCACCAGGTCAGCTCTGGCTAGTTTTCTCTTTTTCTAGGGGATAGCATCCTCCAGCTTTTTTCAGTTGTTTGGGTTTTTTCCCCTAAAACTTTACACGTTTTTCCACATCACACTTCAATTCTGCTCAAGAAAGCAGAGCACCGTGCACCAAGAGAAGGTTCCAGGACTGAGGCAGGGGAGCACCCCGTTTCCCGCCACTGCTGGGAGTCCAGCCTCTCCTGACGCAGCCTGACAGCCAGGGTCGCCTGGCCCACAGGCTGGGCTCTCTGTCGGGCCCTTCCAGGCTGCCCTGGCCCTGGACACAGCTTTGGCTTGGAGCGGGGAGGGGTGGGCCGTGCCTGGCCGTGGGCTGAACTGTAAGACAAACGTGCTGCCAGTGGACAGCCCCCCTTGGCTTGGGCCCATCACCTGCCCCTAGGTGGACGACACCAGGACGAGGTGCCTGGGAGCCAGGTGTCATGGCTCAGGGGACTGATGCTCCACAGGCTCCCTCCTTCTGAGCCCGATTGTTGCCCCAGCTGTGCCTGTGACGGGGCTGGGTCCGGGGACTGGACGAGCCTGGAGCTCGCAGCTGTTGTGCTGGTTCTCACCTCCCGTTGAGATGAAGGCTCCAGAGGAGGGAGGGATTCGAGCTTTCCTGCAGCAGACGGGGAGCAGGGGGCAGTGGGCACAGGGGCTCCTTCTCCTCAGAGTGGGACGGAGCCGCGGAATTCAGCCAGAAGAGGGGCCACCCCGAAGGCCAGAGGCCCCGAGCATGGAAGCCCCTATAGCAGGAGCCCCTCTACTAACACCCTCCTTCGCATACCCACCTGCTGTCTTGGCCACCGTCAAGAATGCTGGCCCAAACTCTCGGGCATCCACCGCCTAATCATCTCTGGCAATCTCTGTTGACCTCTGTCTCCTTAACTCCTCCTCTTCTGAACTGTAAGTAATCGGCTTTCATCAAGTGATAACACACACATTAAAAAAAACAAGTCCTCGAGCCCAGCACACGCCTTCTGAGAGGCTAGTGTGTCTCCAACAAATGCATGGTCCTCTTGGCTTCGTTCTAACCACACGCCTCCTGTCTGCTGAGCCTTGCTGCCTGTTTGGTGAGGGTGTGTGTGTCTGGTGTGCATCTCTTTGTGTTTGTGCCATTAACTCTTGCGTGAATTTGCTCTCGACTGCTCCTGCCAGGGAAGGATGCTCACCAGGAGCTGGTGACCGGTGCAGCGGGATGGGCGTGTCCACTTTGACAGCCCCTCGGAGGGGAAAACTGCCTGCTTCTGTGTGCTGTGTTCATGGGTGGTTCTGTTACTAGGCCCTCAGGCCCTGGAGTTAAATATCAGATCCGCCAGGACTCTGGCCCCCAGCATGTTCATGAAGACAGCAAGGAGAAGGTCCAGGGACTTGGGAGATTTGTTCTTCAACCTCATGAGGGGAAGCAAAGGGTCAGGGAAAGTGACCTCCCTGCTGGAGGGTGTTGGTTTTATAGGGGACGCTGGGCTCGGCCAGCAGCTCACCCACTGCACGCTCGCAGCAAGCAGGGCCTCTCCTGGGTCTCGGTTGCCTCGTCCAGGGCCTGTGAGCTGAATCTGTGACCTCACCACTGCCTCACTGAGAACAAAGTTAGAAGCATCCTTTTGTGCTGGGTGGAGAAGGTCCCTCAAAGACAGAACAGGTGGCCTTGTGGGAAGTTTAGAGCCAGTGCTCTCTGGTGCTTTCCAGCATTTTCCATTCCAGAGGGCCCTTGTCAATTTGTAAAGTTTCATCTGAGCCTCTGTAAGCAGGGGGAAAGAAAGATCCCCTCCCAGTCAGGGTGAGAGGTGGTAGGGACCCTGTTTGTAGGTGGACTGCCCTGTGAGGCTTAGATGAGGAACGGAAACACCCTTACAATTAGCCAAGACTGGGCCCCAGAGGAGCGGGGGCAGGGGTTGGCGGAGGCGCTAGGTGTGGAGTATCTACCTGAGGGAGGGCTGTAGCAGGGGGACCACAGGCTCTGTCTAGTACTCAAGTCGGCAGGCGGTTCAGAGCCAGTGGTCCCCTTTGACTGATGGGAGGAGCTGGAGCGGGGTTCCCAGGCGGCTGCGGGGCCCACAGCCCTAGGAAGTCTGCGATGCGAGGGGAGGTCAGTCGCCCAGCACTTGGGTGTTATCCCCAGGGGCCATCTTGGCGCTAATCACGGCGTTGTGCTCAATATAGTGAAGGAGGAGCCAGCGTACAGCAAAAACCCGGTGGTGATGGTAGACGAGGTCATGAGCTCCAGCCCTCCCAAGTTCAGCTTCCCGGAGGCCGGCTTGCGCGTAATGATCACCAATAAGTTCGGGCCCAGGACGCGGCTGCGGATGGCCAGCAGGATCATCATTAACGAGGTGAGTGCTTAGAGGACCACGAGAGCGGGTGGAGGGGTTCTGGCACCTTGTCGGGACAGTTTCTGGTGTTGGACCACGAGGGCATCCTCTGCCGGGCTGGCGTTTGTCACCTCACCTGTTTAAGGAAGGAAGCCCAAACATCACCCGCAGGCAGCAAATGATCCCATCGGGAGGGACTTTAAGGCAGGCAGCCCTCGAATACCCTGCTGGAGACGTTCCACTAAGGATCTTGTCAGGCACTAGCGTTAAACTCAGTGGAGAAAGGCCAGTCTCAAGTATGGATTGTTTCTTTAAAAGGTTATTTAGGGCAAAACAAGATGAATACACACCTGTTCTCTGTGGATAGAAGAATTCTAGAAGGAAACCGAGATACTGCTGGATAGCGGTTACCTCTGGGAACTTCCCTCCACTCAGTACCCTCATGCTCTGCTCGGATTTTGTGCCTTGTCTCTCTCTCTCATTCGAAAAAAAATTTTAATAAGTTTGAATATTACTTAATGTACAAACAGTATAGCAGAGCTAACAGGCTTATTTGCATACCAGCTTTTCCCGTCTGTGCTGCATATGCGCATGTTGGAGTTTTCAGACCTTATCCTCTGACCCAGGTGGTTACCAGAGAGCTAGAAACTTCCATAGCTAATAATGGGTAGTTAGCGCATCGATTGCATGCAAGAATGAGGTTGCACAGTGCTTAAACGTTCTGTATTTTGAACATTTCTACTTTAATTTCCTACATTATGTGCCCTCTCTGTGGAACGTGTATTAAGAAAGGGAAACATTGCAAGCTTTGAATTATTCTGAATCATTTTGGTCCAAATCGGTAGAAGTTAAATCAATGAAATTTTACTGAACCCTGGCCATTTTTCCTGAGGGTGATAATTGTACCTGCTGGGTGCTGGGAGTGGGAGGGGGGGTTTGAACAACTCTTAAGGATTTGGGGCATTTGAGTTTATAGTATATTTTTCATGGCACACACAGCCAGGGAAATAATGGGGTTTTCGTGAGCTGGTAAAATGCTGGTTGTCAAGCTCCCAAATGTTTAAGCTTTTGGGAAAACCTTGTTTTCCACCATGTTGGGATTGGCCTGCTGTGGAAGGCAGCGCAGGGAGCCGGAGAGGCTGGGCTCAGGAGAGGAGCTTCTGAGTTTCCATCTCACATTAGCCATTAACTCACTTAATCTTCCTGGCCTCAGTTTCTCTGTCTGAGGGTGCTGGGCAGGATGCTTCCGGCTCTAAAATTTCAGTGACACCCAGCTGAAAGACTCTGCCTGGAGACTGAGCAATGTCTCTGGGGAAATTGATCATGGAATGGGAATGAGGGAGGATAAAAACCCCAAAATGCCCAGTTTCAAGGTTGTTTCTTAAGACCCTTTGGTTTCATTTCCTTTTCAGTCATTTTAATTCCAGAATGTTACAGAGAAGTCTGCAAAGCTCAAATTAATCCGTGGTAGAAATGCCTATGGGACAGACGCCCTCATTTGCGCATCCTCAGAGAGGGTTTGCAGGGCTGGGTACTGGGGGAGGGGGTGCGAGGGGCGTGGAGGGAGGGCTCTGCTTTTCCTGCCCTCCAGGGCTACACCTGACCTGACCATCCTCACCCACAGCCACTGCAACAAGTTGTCAGCTGGCCCAGAGTCTCAGCCACCCTCAGTTTCCCCTCCCTCCTTGTGAACCCGCCCTGCCTGGTCCCCCACCTCCTTCATCCCCACAGCTCTCCGTCCTCATCTCACACCCGGATGCTGGTCATGTTGAGCTGGTCCAGCTGGCTGTAATTTACTAGCTCCTGCTGTGTGCCGGGCAGGTGCGGGATGTTCACCTGTGTCATGGCTCTAACCCTCTCCATGACCTTCTGAGGCAGATGATGTTATTTCCAGGTTATCGGAGAGGTGAAGTAATTTGCCCAAAGCCACACAACTAATAAGGGCAGAACAGGAATTCCAACCCAAATCTGAGTCTAGAGTGCAAAAGAGAGACTGCATAGATTCTTAGGGGTCAATCTAGTCCACCTCCCCTCCCCCTTCTTTCTATGTCTTTATTCCCTGTGATATCCAGCCCCTGCTCGAGTTGCTTGTCATTGCCCCTTCCATGTGGCAGCCCTTCAAACATCAGACAACACCCTCCACCTAATTTTCTCCTTGAGTCTCAACATCCTTGGAACCTCCCACCCTCCCTGATGTGGCAGGGTTCCAGTCCTCACCATCTAGTTACTCTCCTGTGAAAACCATCCAGTTTGTCTCTCTTGGCATGTGGATCCATCACCTCCTTTGTGTTCTAATCTATGCCCCTTTTAATACAATCTCAGATAGCTTTAGATATTTTTTCCACGTTCAATCCTCTGTTGATTCCTATTAAGCTAGAGTCATGACCCCCTCCCATTGCTACCATTCATGTTGCTACTAAGTTGTAACCCCCCTTACAATTCTGTCCTTGCACAGCTAGTTTCTTTTTTGGTTTTTGTTGTTTTTTAACTATAAGGATGACTTGTCATTTAACCCTACGTGGAAAGCACAATACTATGCCTGCATGTCTGGGCCTGAGTCTCAGGCATAGATCACTTGGCTGTTTTTGGTAGGCTAAGTGTTGTGGATGCGCTTGTAAGAAAATAATTTTTAAATTTCTACCCCACCCTATATGTCATGATTTAGGAGTCCCTGCCTAAAACTGACATGGAGGCAGTTAAATGGTCCATTCATCTTTCTTTTAGAGAAATGACATGCTTCCGTTTTAAGAAGTAATTACTTTTGTTAATTTCCAGTAATCACGAGGATAGGCGTCGGGTGCACGGTTGTAGAGTATTGACATTTGCTGACTCCTGTTCTCCTGCTGAAGCAGTTGGAGGGATGTATGTGTCCATTGTGTGACCCTCGTTATCCGCAGGCCCAAAGCTGATCCGTGAATATTTGTAGTGAGACTCAGATAAAGGTGAGCCGTGCAGAGGCAAGCAGGTTCTCGGGAAAGGGGAGACCTGTTGGTTTCTTCACGTGTGGCCTCTGCCTTTCCCTGGTTTAGTAGAAACCAGCTTTGGCGAGAAAGATCAGCTTCTGCTTGGGTGGAAAGGGGGCAGCCTTTGTCAGTAGCTACAGTGAGATGAGGGAGGGAGGGGATGGGCTGGTTCAGGGCACACCCGTTAGAAGTGGCAAAAGGCGTGGACAGCAGAGGCTGTCGTAGTGGCCAGTATCCCAATAAGAAGCTCAACATCGTCAGTGGTCAGAGAAACGCGGATTAACACCACAATTAGTTACCACCACGCATCCACCAGGATGGCTAAAGTTTAAGGGACAATACCAAGTGTTGGCAAGGATGGGAAGCACCTGAAATCCTAATCCATTGCTGGTGTGAGTGTAAAATGGTTCAACGTGCACTTACCTTGTGACCTAGCAATTCCACTCCTAGATAAATACCCACGAGAAAGGAGTGCTTATGTCCACAAGAAGACACGCACACAAATATTCATAGCAGCATTCTTTACAATAACCAAAAAGGGGAGACAACCCAGTGCCCATCAACAGGCAGAGGATACGTTGTGGCTTATTCATACAAGGGAATACTACACACCCGTGAAAAATAACAAACTACTGATTCACATGACAACGTGGACGAATCTCATGGATATTAGGTTGGGTGAAAGAAGCCAGACATAAAATAGTACACACTGTTTGAATCCATTTATATGAAATTCAAGTTCAGAAAAAACTAATTGATATTTATAAAAGAATAGTGGTTGCCTTGGTTACATCTGGAGAGAAGGGCACATAGACTAGGAAGTGTCTAGGGAGTCTTCTAAGGGGCAGGAAGCGTTCTACATCGTGAGATAAAACATCATTGAGCCATATGCTTAATGTGAGTGCGCTTTTTGTGTGATATACCTAAAAAAAATTTTAAATTAAACTATGCAGGGCCTCTCCCGTGACTGTCTTCAGGTGGCTTATGAAGGTCCACTGGGGAAGCCGAGATGATCGCTGTCATCCGGTGTCATGGGCTGGGTTGTCGGGTTGGCACTGAGAAGGGGAGACCCAGGGCTCTGACCAGTCCCCAAAAGCTTCCTGGTGTCAGTTCCAATGGAAATGAGCAAACTCAGATAGATTCCAAGGTTCCTGGGCCATTTCGCAGGCAAACCGATATCCAGGGGTGTTGTTCTAGAAACCTCTAAGGGCTGTGTATGCGTATGGGACAAAGCACCAGTGTGACACTTGTCACCCATCTTGGCGTCTGTCTTGCCTCCTGTCCTCACAGCGGCAGCGACTGATCAACTCGGCGAACGGCGTGAGCAGCAAGCCGCTTCAGAACGGGAGACACGAGAACATCGAGAACGGGAACGTTCCCGCGGAAAACCCCGCAGACCCTCAGCGGGAGCAGGAGCAGCAGCCCCCGCCCCCGCCACCACCCCCGGAGCCCGAGCCGGTCGAGGCTGCCTTCCTGTCCCCCTTCTCCGTGCCCGGTGAGTTCTGGGGCTGTGGGGCTCTCAGGCTGTGCTGCCTGGGGCTCCGCTGGGACCAAGCCCCGGTCTTCGGGGTAGAGACCTGGACCCATGGTGGGGGGCGGCTGTGAATGGTCGACATTAGGTCACCAGGGTGCTTAGGGGCACTCGGTCAACACCTCCTAGTACTGAACCATGGATCAGAGCTGCAGTTGGACTCAGGCTGAGCAGGGGGAGCCTGTGTACCAGACAGCAGGCCAGCTGGAGACACGGGAAGTACCAGTAACCCCTGTGACCGCACTGAAATGCCCAGGGCAACTGGTCTGTCTTTTGCAGTAAGAAAAAGCAACCACTGCTGTTATTTTTATGGACATGCGTAGACTCCACCCCTTCTAGTGTGGGCAGTCTGTTTGCTGGGCCAGGATATCCTAAGGCCCCAAATGATCCTTAGATGGTTACATCTTATACATTTGACGACATCTCCTACCCATAAATAAGTCAGATCAGACCATGACTTTGCCCAAGCCCTCAGCATCCTCCCATCTCACTGGAGTCTGACCTCTGAGGCCCAGTGTCATCTGACTGCTGGCTCTTTACTGACCTCCCCTTCTGTCCTCCCTCTCGTGCCCTCTGCTTCAGCCACACTGGCCGCCTCACTGTCCTTCCTAGAACACACCAGGTGTGCTGCTGCCCCAGGACCTTTGCACTTGCCCTTTGCTGGAAAGCACTTTCCCCACTTACCCATATGGCTCACTCCCTTGCCTTCTTCAGGTCTCTGCTTAAATGTCACCTTCTCGGTGTGGCTGTCCCTAACCACCCTATTTGAGATATTTTGTTTTTCTTACCTTGTGTGACTCCCCCAAGTAAAATGTCAGTTCCACGGAGGGGCAGAGATCTTTGTCTATTTCCTTCGCTGCTGTACCGCCAGGGCTCTTGTCTGACCCATGGCAGGTGCTTAGTAAACATCCGTGAAATGAATGGATTCAGGAGTTCACATGCGAGAGGACCCCCAGACACACTCAGTCTGCCTTCATCTTTAACCAAACTCCTGCAGTGTGAGACGGGAAGTGAAGGCCTCAGCTGTTTGGTCCCAATCACAGAAGTTTTTTCTTGGCATCCTGCCATCCTGAGAGGCAGCAGAATACCAAGATTTTCAAGTCCAGCACCTGATGTTTTTCTGGAAAGAATTCTGTGTTGAACATCAGGCTCACAGAGTACCTAGTTTGGGAGATGGCTCTGGGGGGAGAGAGGCTGCCCAGTTCCCCGCCCCCATCTTTCTGTCCCCAAGGGGATGGTGTGGGCCTGCTCAGGCTGGGGTGCTGTGCTTCATCCTGAAAACACAGGCTCCACCGGGAATCACAGGGCTTCTTCGGAGTTTCTGGATTAGTTTCCAGGGCGTGCTGATCACAGCCACCCAGGGGCTCTTCCCGAAATTCAGGGCCTGGTCCTGAAACCCCGATGTTCCCGAGACTGGAGTGGGGCCTGTGAATCTGCACTTTCAAACCCTCTCTGGGTGATTCCCGGGACCTGGCCACGTTAGGAATTGCTGCTGCTGGTCGGTACCTCCCAGCCTTCTTTCACATGAGAGGCAGGCCCAGAAAATGAAGTTTGTCCCCTCACTGACGACACAGAGGGTCTAGCTCCCTGGGTCCCCCTCTGCTGACCAGAAGGCTGGGGGGGATGTGTTTTGGCCCACCTCCAGCGTGACCTGGCACATCAGCTCACCTGCCGGAACACTCTGGGGAGCAAAGATCATGCTCAGCCAGCTTGTCTGGAGGGCTAAAGGTCCCCCTGTGCTGGGTGGGAGCTTGGCCCCTGGGGCCGGGGCTGGCACACTGAGGAGGGGTGGTCTTCTCCAGAACCAGGATCCTCTATCAGATTACCTGTTTGTCAACACCAGGAGAAAGAAGATTTCTGCAGGGCAGGATCCTGGAAGGGCAGTGTGTCCGCCAGAGGAGAACCTGCTCCCAGGCTGCTGAACCAGCCCGGGGCCCTGCCCCACCTAGCATTTTTTACTCCTGTGTTCATAAGAGGTCCTGACACAGACCTCAGGTCCGGTGCCCTGGGTGCCCCACAGCCCCACGTCCTCACATCACCAGCCCAGTTCCTGTCCCCAGTCCACATGGGGCCGAGTACAAGGACTTGGGGCTGCGGTCACCAAAGAGGCCTGGAGACCAGACGCCAGGGAGGCTGGGAGTGTGGTCACAGGGAGGCAGATGCAGCCACGGTCCAGGAAACAGCCTCGCTCGTGGGGGGAGGACCGAGTAGGGGCTCCCCTTCGGTGAGTTCTATTCTCTGGCCCCGGGACGTGGGTAGGAGAATCCCCATTTTAGAGATGTGGGGCCTGCTGGGGCCACTTCATCTGAATCCTGGTCCTGATGCTGCCCGCTGTCCAGGCTTCTGCAGGGAAACAAAGAAGGGATGTGCCCGTCTTGGCAGCTGCTATGCTGTCGAGTGAGGCGGCTCTGTGTAAGGACAACTCATCTTTGCATTTCCTTGAGAGCTTGAGTTTGGCAGGATTGGGTGGGGTGGACCCCAGGGATAACTACCCTTCCCCTGTCCTTGTCCAGGGATCTGGTGCTCCTCTGGGAAGTGGCTGTGGGAAATGGGATCTAGCTCCCCGCAGGGACTCTGGGCAGGTCACCTCCAGGGCGGGGGGCTTAGGATGCTGCTCTCTTTCAAGGGCTGGGACCAGAGAGCTCCCAGGTTCTCTTCACCTGTGAGTCCTTCAGGACTTCCTGTTATAATCGGTCCACCTTCCTCCTCAAGCCAGAGGCTCCAGGACATGCCCCTGGGCTTGCCCGCAACAGAGCCAAGTGCCTCGAGCTTCCACCCGGTGCTCGCCTCTCCTTGTCCTCAGGAACAGGCCAGGGCTGCCGTGTCCCTGCGGAAGGCTCCCTTTGCGTCCCTGTGCCTGTGTTTCCAGGTGTTCCCCCTGGAAACCACCAGTTCCTCTCCGCCCCACCCCCCGCCCGCAGCTCTTCTGTGTTGCAGGGACAGGCTGGCAGGCAGGCTGGGCTCCGGAGCCCAGAAGTCCTGGGTTTGAATCTCGATTCTGCTGCGCACCAGCGCTGTGGCCCTGAGCAAGCTGCTTCACTCCCTAAACCCCCGTCCCTCATCCACAAGATGGGGTGATGGCACTCACCTCCCAGGGGTGCTCTGAGTAGTAAGATAATGAGTCGCCGCCTCTGTGCACTGTCTGACACGTAGTTGGTCCTCGGTAAGTGTTAATTCGGATCACAGTGTGCTTTAATCCTGTGGCTTCTATTATACCCAGCTTCTCGCATCCCCCCCAGTTGGACTGCAAGCGATGTTCTAGGAAGGTCCCAGAATCCCTGGAGGCCTGGAGCTGGGGCCACCCGAGAGTCAGGGAGAGGGAACTAGCATCTGCTGGGACCTGCTGTGTGCAGGCACTGGGCTCAGACACTTTGCAGGCAGGATAATTCTTGTCAGTAACAAACAGCACATGCTGTTCTGGGCTTTGGGGCTCCAGGTGGGAATGGGACAGCCACGGGGCCTGCCCTCTGGGAGCTTCTGGGCTGGCGGCGCAGATCCAGGCAGATAAGCTCTCCACGTGCTTTGTGCGTCGTCTCCCTCCCTATCACACAGCCAATACTGGAGGAGGTGGATGCGCCAGCCTGCACCCCAGGCTCTGCCCTCCTGCCTGAGGGATCGCTGGGCTTGCGGACCAGAGCCCAGGGCGCCCAGGCAGCCTGGCTCCGGGGCCCACCTGGTCTGCTGCTAGACTTACATCAGCACCAAATGCAGCCACGCCTTCCCACTCTGGGCCACGGAGGCTGGTAATTGGGCCTCCCAGGCCAGCTGTTGGCCAGAGGAAGTAGAGAGGGAGCTCTTTCTCCCTTGGAAACTCTGGTCTACAGCCCTGGCACTGCCCTGCAATGATCGGCCCTGGACCCTGAGCCCCAGCCCAGGCGGGGAAGCCCTTCATGACTTATGGTCTAGGGGTTCCTGCCAGCCCAGTGGGCCACAGCCTGGCCCTCCCACAGGACTCCTCTCTCCTGCCCCCAAGTGGGTGAGGAAATTATATCGTGCGTACTGGGGCGCTGGCCCTCACATCCACTGCTATTGTAGCAGCCAGCATCCGTTAGGGACTTGCTGTGTGTTGGGCACGGAAGGACAAATAGGGAATTCTTATGGGGCTTCTGTATGCCACGCCCTGCCCCTCATTTAATCCTCACAACAACACGTGCGGTGAGGACGATTATTATCTCCACTTTACAGAGAAGGAGAGGGAAGCACAGAGAGGTTAAGTGACTTGCCCACGGTCACCCAGCTACTAGGTGGAGAGCAGGGTTTCCAACCTGGGCAGTACACGCTAACCACTGTGCAGTACTGCCTCTTTGTTCAGTGCACTTTCGTTTAATCCTTGCAGCTGCCTTGTGAGGGAGGCAGTAACATTATCCTCATTTTGCAGAGAGGAAAACTGAGGCTCAGAGAGGCTATGGGACTTCCCAAGTCACACAGCCATTATTTGGGGAGCCATTCTTCCAACCTGCGCCTCCCGAGCTATGAACACCAACATGTTCTGCTCCCAGTCGGGAGCAGAGTCCCAGACCGCGAGCACCAGGGCTGTCACATAGCGGGCGAGTGGCCTTAGATAGATATGTACCCTAGACACACAATGCAATTCAGCTGATTTCAGTGGAGAAACTGTAGGATACATGTGCATTTCACAGAAGTCCAGGCCCGTGGAGCTTCTGGGAACAGTAACATGAGGTAAAACCAGTTGAGAGCTCACCCTCGGCCCGACCAAGTGCTTGACACCCATTAACTCATTAAGTCCTCATGACAGCCTGAGAGGATGGGTACTTTTATTATCCCCATTTCCCAGGTGAAGAAACTGAGGCACAGAGAGGTTTAGTTGCCCAGGGTCACACAGCAGGAAGGGGCAGAGCCGGGATTTGCACACTGGCATTCTGACCCCAGACGTGTTTAGGGGACAACACTGTAGGCCACCCAGTGGATTCTTTGGGCTCACCGTTCCTTTGGAGCCACAAGGA